GAAAAATGCTGTAATTAAAGCAATTACACTTTTACAATATTAATAAATGTACATACTATCCGGTACAACCGAAATAATAAAAGTTATTCATGTTATTTTCCGGCGAAGAGACAAATTTCACAACTCATGTTTACAAACAAACCGGAGCGCTCCTAGCGGACGCCACCGGCGCCGCGCATGCGCGGTGGATGGTGGGCAAGAAGCCCGCCGTCGCCCATAAACAAACCATTGAATTGCGTTGTTGTCGGCGTCGGTGGGAGTCCCCGTGCTCTTTTTCGCGTTGGAATTGTTGATTCTACGTCCTCCTAACAATGTCTGACTACTTGAGCGGCTTCAGCAAAATTAACGAGGCTCACTACACCGCAAAACATTGCGTGAATAATGTGACGTGCGGCGATTCATTTTACGTGGACGCCGCAGAATGGGCGCTATGCCTGACTCCCACGATGAGATTCATCTCGCCATTTTCAGTCGCGAAGTCACTCGGGCTGCAAAAGCGTGGACCGTAGCTGAGATGGTGGACGTCGATACTGAAAACCGCAAGTAAAATCGGACATTACAAGTCGGTGACGGCCACTGGTAACAATGATCAACATCTTCTCGTATCTACTGTTTACACTTAGCCTACTTACACCAACCAACCTTCAAAAGTGTTTGAGGCCTGCACTTACTTCTTACCGCAATTACCGGGTCAACGTTTGGTTTACGGGCCGCTGTTGTTTGAACAAGCTGACGACAAAAAGCAGACAAGTTTGAAAGAGCAGACGACAGTTCAAACGGATGCGCAATGAAGTGCGGGCAAGAAGCACCGCGTCCCGTGTCAACAAACCATTGGAATGTCACGTTGTCGGCGTCTGTGTGAGTCTGCATACTCTTTTTCGCGTTGGAATTGTCGATTTTACGTCCTCATAGCAATGTCTTACCACTTTAATCGCCTGAGCGAAATTATCAAGGTTCGTTATGCCGCTAAACATTGCTTAAATAATCTAACGTGCGGCGATTCAATCGCATGAACGCCGCAGAATGGACGCCAAAACCATGATGAGGTTCTTCTAGCTATTTTAGGTCGCAACGTCGGTCGTGCTGCAAAAGTGTAGAAGGTAGGGTCGATGATCGAAGTCGATACTGAAAATCGGAAGCGGGAACAGACCAAGCGTAACAAGTCGGTGATGGACTCTGGTACCTATGATCAGCCATCTTGTATCTACAGTTTACACCGAGCCAATTTAAGTCTTTTGAGGCCTGCAATTACATCTTATTGCAATCACCAGGTCAAAGTTTGGTCTACGGGCCGCTTTTGTTTGAACAAGCAGACGACAAAAGGCAGGCAAGTTCGAAAGAGCAGACGATCAGACGGCCGTGTGAATTTGAAGACGCACTGAACCCGCGGGTGGTCCGGACAACTTGGCGGTTTTGTCTCGTTCATGTTGGAACAAAACAAATACATATGGCGACCACAAAGTGTTGTCCGCACAAGCAATCGTAGTTCAACAGCGTCTGGTTTGCGCTTGTCACGGCTACTATCCACGTTCTCGGACGAACGGAGGGTGCAAAAACACATGAAAACTGATCTTCAAACCTTTCCAGACTCTCTTGGTACAGCCCCCGTCGCAGCATTTCGACAAGAAGGCAGGTTTTTTGTCTGGTTTCTCCGAAAAGAATGCGGGAATGCATGTCTCGCACCGCAACTTCTGCCCACACCCCAGACCGGAAGTGCGACCGACGCGCCACCACCGCGGTGTGACGTAGGAGAGTTGAGTTTGTGTATAGGAAATATTCACTGGCGGCCATAGCTGTGCGCGACTGCTGAGCGCGTGCTGATGGCTAGCTTCCAGGGTTCTTTTGCACCGTGCATTCCACACCGTCAAAATGGCCGGTCTCGTTCTGAGCATGCGCTCTAGTCAGCACCCACAAATATGGCGCCCAGTGAATACTCCTTATTGTAACGCGCTCCGGGCGTCCAAGCAAGCGAAGAAGCGAGAAAAAAAGCAACCGATGAGCGAAAAAAAAAAAAAAAAAGAGAAAAGTAGGGTAACGTGAGGACGACGTCAAATATGTTAATAACCCACTGCGGCCACTAGGATGGGTACAGTTGCTAACATCCGCGTTCCCTCCAGGGTGCTCTTTCTGCGCTCAAGCGTAGGGTTCTTGTTTCCGCCACCCACTGATCTCTATGACTATTGCTGGATCGCGTTTGCCCGCTCCGCAAATACGGCCACTGGCAGCCAGCTTTTTGGTAGAGTTGGCTGGTTGATTTGGTGTTTATGGCGCAAAAGCTACTAAGGCCATAGAGCGCCAAAAAACATTGGTAGAGTTATATTGCCTCTAGCCAGTGTACAGCTGCTGCAGCTACTATCATCCATCCATGGCAGACAGGGTTGTGGCAGTTGTGGTTGCAGGCTGCCATAGAAATAGCGTGGGCGATATTTCGTGCTTGATTGAAATTGTTTGACAAAACATATTTTTGAAACCCGGCGTGAACGGTAGCCCCATCTTTGAGAGCCCGGTGAAAGTTTCACGAAATCGCAGCACCGGGGAAAAGCAGCACAGCACACATCGAAAGTCGCATCGAAAGCAGACGCCGGTGCGGAGTCTGCTTTCGTTCCGAGCTGCGCTGCTTTCCCCCGGTGCTGCGCTTTCGTAAAGCTTTCTCCGGGTCCTCAAAGATGGGGCTACCGTTCACGCCGGGTTTCAAGAATCTGCTACGTCGAACAACTTCAATCGAACTTGAAATATCACCCACGGTACAGTGTACGAGATCTACGGCTATTTTATGGTAGACTGCCGCCATTGCGTTGTCCGCCATATTACTATGATGGCTAGAGATAATATAACTCTACCAAAAAGATGGTTGACTGTGGCCACATTCCCGTCCATAGGCAAAGCTGGCCAAACGCGGTCCTGCAAATAGACATAGAGATCAGTGCCGCCACTTCAAAACATGGCGTTACAATCGTCGCCCCTACTGCTGCCAGGCCGCCCCTATTTGCCCCTGGATGGCGCAAGTCGTACTGTTGTGTCCTAGGCAGTTAGTTCGCCGCTGCTCGCTTGGCCCCCACCTTTCCCCCAGTTAGCTTGCCTGATTATATTTCTCTTCAATTTCCTTCTCGTCTTCTGGGGCTTTTGTTTTAAATCTTTTTTTTATAAATCAATGTCGAGCAACTTCAGAGAAGCTGCTCCTCAAATGGGTAAGAGGCAAGGAGCACAGATTTACTTTTCATACATACTTTATTATTTACACAGATCTCATATATATAATAGAAGATGTATACAGATAATAAAATTTATGGAACAATAGACCAGATGGCACAAAAAACACGTAAGGGCACAATTAAAGAAATATACATTTATAAAAGATATCGCACCACCACAGTTTTGATCAACAGAAACGTGAGCGTTTTCTGCAGAAAAAAAAAAAGATATTTTTTTGTACTCGGCTGATAGATGACTTGCTTCACGGTTTCTGGGCTTTCCTATCAGCTGCAGACCTTTTAAATTAAGGTTTTTGCAGATCTCTTCTTTTTAAAGACGTAAATGCCCCAAGGTTCATAGCAGAACACATGTGGAAAGACTTCTAGCAGATTGCTCGACAGAGGTCCTTCGACTGTTCTGCCACGAAAGCACAAAGATTCTTCATCACATCATCCTTGAATACCAGATTGAGAATGCATGCCAGAAAGCACTCTTTAAGCTTGCCCACAAGAGTAAGGCAAGAGTAAGTGGGCACAAAGCGAGCACCAAAAATGCCTGTGTTGTCCTGTGCGCTTAGCACGTGGTATGGGTCGATCTGCTTGTGAATTTCAGATGCAACGTCGCTCCTATGTAAGAAAAAAAACAAAAAAACGCGAAAATATGATCATAGCACACTGGCCATCTGTCAAAAAGGTCGCTGTGCAACATCAAGTTTATCGCTTCCTTTAATGTATCCTGGCGGATTCAGCGGAGTCAATCTGACGACTCTGGCGAACCTGCCAAGCCACTGGCTTCGACAAACACTATTTTGCGATTTTTTGTTTTTTCGTCAACATTTGTGCGACATTTCGGAGAAAATGAATGCTGCTGTGCACTCGTAGTCCCCATCATTTTCTTGTTTTCGAACAGCTAACCACTGCCCCAAATCGCTGCTTCGAAGCGTGACCACAAGGCACGGACGAATTACATACACCGATCGCACGATTTGTACCAACAAAGAAATGAAAATATGCTGCGCCAGAACACATTGTTGCCACGTCGTTTTGCGCTGGCTCGCGTTGCGCTCATCGACGTTAAAGTGTAGACGGCTCTGTCCGTCGAAGGATTTATAATTCTGACGGCATCAGATTGTGCACGCGCAAACGGCTGCTATAACAGTTTGTCCAAGGCAGGGGTAGTTTGGGACGATTTGGGATCCTGATCCGTCCGCGCACTCGCATCTCTGTCGACCGCTTCACTCAGGTAATTTGCCCTGAGGAAAAGGCGTGTCTGCGACCTTTGAGCATTTCTTTAACAGGGAAATAGGCCACGCACAACTGTAATTTTTAGATTTTTGGGATGCTTTCTGCGCATAGATCGCGTTACCACCATAAAACGGCGATCTCAGAAACCACTTCAGTGCACCTATAGTATGTCCCTAATTTTCGTAAATTTTGCAAAAAAAAAAAGCAATTTATAAACGGTCGCACAAAAATTTTGGGCTTGACACTTTGAAAACTGCACCCCGATCACAAACCTTACATACTGAGTAAACAATCCCTGCAACTGTCGAATCATAGAACCATAGCGAAGCAAATCGGAAAAAGGAATACCCGGACGCGATGTCACGATTGAGCAATCGCAGTGCTCCAGTCGGTCGCGCTGCGAGCAAATTTAATGGTGCTTTTATTTCTCATTCTCAATTGCTTGTCAAACCATATAAATTGTACAAAGAACGCCCACACGGTTGTGTCACTGTCAGTTATCGCCAGTTATTAACGAGTTTGATGTTGCAGTGTTGAAAGTGGAGGCTCACTGTTATCACATGGTGCCGGTACAAACATGACCAGCCAGACGCACCTGGGGATATAGCCACTGCATCTGTGCTTTTGTTGCAGGCCAGCGGAAGGTGCAGACATTGGTGTTTATTGACCTGGAGTCCACGGGGCTGCCTTCTTTTATGCCCAAGTACAAGGTGAACATCACAGAGATTGCCCTGGTGGCTGTTGAGAGAACCAACTTCAGGGAGGGCCTGCGCTACATCCACAAGCTGACTTTCTGCGTCAGGCCTCGGCACGCCATCATGGAGGATGCCTCCAGGATCACAGGTGAGAAGCGCTTGATGTTCTTTCAATTCAATTCATTTCGTTCCATTTATTTAGTCCCCGTGACACTCAGTGTGGTGTCGCCAAGCATCCTTTAAACGTCCAGGTGACATCCCTGAAACGTTGAGACATTCCGAAAATGCCTGCCGAACTTTGTGCGCTACCAGGCAGATCTTCCTTATCGGTGCCATCTAAGAAATGCCACAGCCACGCGTCAACTGTCAAGCTTTGCGGAGCAATTTAGCGCCGACTGTCGTGCTGCCCATTTCCTGATATCTCGGTGGACACGATAGGACCTCAGTCAACTCACTCGAGCTTGTGACTACCACTTTACAGAGGGCCCCAAAAAGACATAGCATTTTTGTATGTTTGAACTTAGCGAACGGCACGGGTGGACGCAGCAGCGAGGGAATTTAAGGTGAAACTCCACCTATCGTGCCATTTTGCTTCTTTTTGATGGTTTATAACTTCCTTTTTAGGTTTTTTAGAGTCGTAAAGTTGATGTCAAATTAAAGATCCGCTATTTAGCTATACTTTAATATCACAATATTACGTTTATCCTTAGTTGTTAATTTGTTATTTAACTTCTAACCCCTTCCCTAGTAATAACCAACGTCACTCGTTCCACCCTTTACGGACCATAAAGCCCGACCAAGAGTGTGACTCGTGTTTCGGCTTCGGTGCTTGTTTAGCGCACACTCCGGCAGATAGCAGCACCACCCCATTTCTCTAGATACCTAGGGTTGTTTGCTCGTTTGTGTTACTCTTTTACAGAAAAAAAGCGCTCTATAATGAGCACAAAAAAAAAAAATGTGCACGCTACGTAAGCAGTTGCACGAAATCAACGTGGCTTCAGTGCGAAGGTCCGCTTCAGCTGCCAAAGACATCTTCTTGAAAGTGATGAATGCTCAGGCATATCTGACGACAAATCTTGTAGCCTTTCCGATTACTCGGAGTCAGGTAATGGTTCGATGGACAGTGATATGGGAGTGATGAAAACAATGCAAATCGTTTTCATCACCCCCATCAAGGTGGCTCTCCACCTTCCTCAATGTTTTCAGCGCTATCCCACTGGGAAGAACTACTGAAGAGTAGCAAATCAGAAGTCCTGATTTAGAGCAAGATACCACACCTGGAAATCAAGGAAGTGCTTTTGTCTTAGTTTGAGGCGAATTTCCTGTTTAAAATAAAGTTTTGCGGTACGTTTCTGGAAGAAAAAAATTAGTAGGCAAGGGGTTCATCAACATATCAGATATTGAACTTTTTTTTATCATGTTAAAACGTTCCAACATACACAATAATCTATGTGAACGTTCTGTGGCATATGTTAGAATAAAAAGTTAGCAATGAAAGGTAAGAGTGTGTATATTAAAATAAAAAATAAAGTTTAAAATGGTGTAATTTTATTGTGCCATAAAAACTGAATCACGTCAACTAATGAAAGTTACGCGTCATTAAGTTACAAAGCATCTGTCGACATTCAATCTTTCAGAACTTGCATATCGATAGATTACAAATGGAGTTTAGTATTCAGCCTCAAGGAAGATCGGTGATTGAGTGGTTTAGCGCACACCAGCTCGGAGCACGTAAAGCGAAAGCTCGAGTTGCAGAACCCAGAGATCCTGAATTCAATTCCCACCCCTGCCAGTTTCGATCTGGATAAGCATTGTACTGGTGTGCAGTTGTTTATCACTGCTGTGTGATGCACGTTAAAACCCCCTGGCAGTGGTACTGCACTGGCTGAATTTCTCGCCTACAGCGTAAGCTGCTGTCGCTGCATCTCTGTATAAACACAAACATTAAATTTGTTTTTTGGTTTGGTTTTATTCAACCTCAAACTTTTCCCATTCACTTATGGCAAGTTGCAGTTTCTTAATATCAAATACAGATGGTGACATGTGTTTAAGAATAGCCTGATGCGCATTTGCTATCGCGTGCCACTTGGAACACCACGTGAGAGACAAACGGTGCCAGATGTTTGGGTGTCAGATGCCTGGATAATTGCAGTGAGCGAGCGAAGATGCCAGAACAAGCGCGAGGCTGTAGGTGCACCACCGCTGCTTTTGCGTGCGTTCCACTGTACATCAATATGCATGCCTGGCACAATTCAAATAAAATGGCCACCATGAAAGGGATTCCACCAGTTGCAATTCCACCACATATGCCGAAACCAGAGTGTCGAACCGGAACCGAATCGAACCGAAAACCAAAACAGAACCGTTATTTTTAGCCGAACCGGAACTGAACCGAACCGATATCTTCGCCGCCATCTTGGAACTGAATTGGAACTGAAACGGAAAAAATATAACGGTAACCGGTTCAAAGTGCTTCACGGTAATTTTTTTTTTTATTACAAAGTGAGTGTTTGAGAAGTAAAAATTGGCAACTGGCATTTCTACGTAGTGATCAAATTGTCATATACCGAATTGCAATGTATAAGAAATTGTGGGTTTTCGTGGCGCTTTTGTATTGGCACTACGGTTAGTCGTATGCCACGTGGTCACGTGACGTCATGGTTTCAAGACATGCTGTCAAATAATGTCACACCACGTGGTCCCGTCGCGTGGTCGCATGACTCACCGCGTCAAGTCGACTTAAATCAAGAACGTCAATTTCCCCCTCTCTTCTCCAAAGTTTCGTGTGCTTTTTCCTCCCCGGCAATCTTTTCCCTCGCCACCTTCTTGAGTTGCAAAGAAATCTAGATGTATTAGCGTTGTTGACACCGTGACGTCACATGCCATCATGACTTCTCACTACGAGTAATGCGACACTGTGAAGTACTCGGTTGTCATGAGCCCGAGCCGAGTGCTCGGGTTTTTGACAATCAGCATCGCCAAACATTCGTGTTGACTCGTGTTCAATCAAAGATGAGAATAGCCGGACTCTAATATTGAATAAAGCTCAACCCATGCTTTATTCTTTGCCAATCCCAGCGCATGACTATGATGAACACTGGCGGTATACAATTAGCTTCAGATCACATCGCCGCTTGTTCCAACTGAGAGTTGAGAAAGGGAAAGCTGTTCTTTCCTTTATTTTTTCTGCGCCTGCCATTGAGCAGAGAAGGAAACTAATGGGTGTTTCTGCAAGCTATCAACGTCGGAGATAACCTCATAGCGGCATTTACTGAAAGTGCAAAAATTGTTTCATGAATCATTTTACATGTACACGTCATTGAGGCACTCAGACATGTTTTCGTTGTGGGTGAACAGTCTCAGAAAGTTGTCTTGAGAATAAAAGGAGTGAAAGGACTAAATATGACTTATTAATCTGACCATAAATAGAACTACAAGTGCGTACGGCAAGGATACCTGAAAAAAAAAAGTAAAAAAAGATTCTAGTGGTGTTTGAAGGACAGCCGAACGTCGGCAGTCGCTCAAAATCTCTTAATTTTGTTTAAAGTTCACAGTTTTTGGGTGCGAAATAAAAGAAATGGAGAATTACTGAAAACAAATGACAGAAATATAATTGTCGAATTGGCAGCCCCAAACAAAGGAGGGAATCTTTTAAAACTAAACAGTATTCTGTAGAGGAGCACCGCCAAATGAAAAAAAAAAAAAGGGGGGGGGGTTAAAAACCTAATGTGTTGTGAAGGTTCCTCTCCGCATCTTCGGCGCAGAGCAGACCGCGTGATCCTGGAAAACTATTTCGTTTGCGAAATCAATCCTGCCAGAAAGCGCGTTTTCGGGGTGCCAGACGCTCGCGCCGTCCCTCACTATACGCTGCGCCATGCAAAAAAAATTTCTGGATGCATGGGTTGCGCTGAGTGCAAACCTTTTGCAGCGTGCATTTTGTGTAGTATCGCGGGTATTACCGCGTGAGCAGCCAGGACGACGATACGCAAGCCTGCCACGCGGACCAGAGAGCAGCACGAGTGGGGACTCTGGAGCATGCTGCACTTCGAGCATATTCTATCTTTTCTGCCTTATTAAATGACGAGTTTGCTGTGATGTAGCGTTGGCCTCCATACATAACGTTTTGCACCTTGGAATTTGATTTTCTCAGCAAAATGCGAACCACGTTAAACAGTCCGGTTTTCTGTTGAAATCTGATGTTCTCAACACAATACTCCGTTCCACTTTAAGTGTAAGTATTCCAGAAGCTAAAAAAGCGAACTCTGGGCTTCAAGTGTCCGAGCACGCGCGTTCCTGCAGTGCGAGTGCTCGGGACCAAAGGCTCGCGCTTGTAGCATAGGCTGCATGTGTACTTGAAGAGGCCATGCAAAGCATTTCTGGCCATTTTTTTTTAATTTGCATTGCTTTTGCTCGAATTAGTGACTGGGACCCTAGCAACAGATTAAACATAAAATAAGTAAATCTAGCGTATTTTGAACATAATAGGTTAAAGGATTCAGAATTTTGAGCAAATTTTCTTTTGTTGATGACGTTCTTGGTCTGAACCAGTAGAGAACCGACACGACAAGAGCGTGCAACAACCATACGCAATCTTCCTAGGTGTTGGAAATTAACATCCAGTTATGAGGATGTAAGCGCCCCACCAATTTACGGGTGTTACAAGCAAATATTTGAGTGAGAGTCACGTGCTTGAAAGGATCAGAAGGGGTCCTTGCGCCTATTCAGCCAGTCCTACCTATAGAACTCTATGTCATCATTATCCGACGTTCTAGACCAATGTCGGCACTGAACGTTTGTGTTTGACACTGATAGGCACGCCATTCCAAGCAGCATTTGGTTTTCCTCGTTCCTTTGGAGTGCCCCTTTAAGCTGAAACAAAATATAGCTAAAGGGGATGTCTAAATTGTAAAGTTGTGCAGTATATATAGCAGTCTTGTGATGATGTTCTGCAGCCTAATAAAATGTTAGAGCGTGCATGACTGATAAAGCACGGAGTTGTAAAATTAGGCCCCAAAACAAGTGCACGACTATTTGCACGTGGAGAGCAGCAGCTCCTTTTCTATCTGCGGTGTGTCGTTTGATTCACCCACTTCTTCTTCAAGTGCCCTAGTCCGTTGACACACGCCGAGGGTTAAGCGGCTTTCGACC